TCTTTCTTTCTTTCTTTTTTTCTTTCTCTTTCTTTCTTTCTTTCTTTTCTTTCTTTCTTTCTTTCTTTCTTTTCTTTCTTTCTTTCTTTCTTTTTTCTTTTTCTTTCTTTCTTTCTTTCTTTCTTTCTTTCTTTTCTTTCTTTTTCTTTCTTTCTTTCTTTCTTTCTTTTTTCTTTTTCTTTCTTTCTTTCTTTCTTTTTTTCTTTCTTTCTTTCTTTCTTTTTTTCTTTCTCTTTCTTTCTTTCTTTTCTTTCTTTCTTTCTTTCTTTCTTTCTTTCTTTCTTTTCTTTCTTTCTTTCTTTCTTTTTCTTTCTTTCTTTCTTTTTTTCTTTCTCTTTCTTTCTTTCTTTCTTTCTTTTCTTTCTTTCTTTCTTTCTTTCTTTTTCTTTCTTTCTTTCTTTTCTTTCTCTTTCTTTCTTTCTTTCTTTCTTTTCTTTCTTTCTTTCTTTCTTTTTTCTTTCTCTTTCTTTCTTTCTTTCTTTCTTTTCTTTCTTTCTTTCTTTCTTTTTCTTTCTTTCTTTCTTTTTTTCTTTCTCTTTCTTTCTTTCTTTCTTTCTTTTCTTTCTTTCTTTCTTTCTTTCTCTTTCTTTCTTTCTTTCTTTTCTTTCTTTCTTTCTTTCTTTCTTTTCTTTCTTTCTTTCTTTTTTCTTTTTCTTTCTTTCTTTCTTTCTTTATCTTTCTTTCTTTCTTTTTCTTTCTTTCTTTCTTTCTTTCTTTCTTTCTTTCTTTCTTTTCTTTCTTTCTTTCTTTCTTTTTTCTTTTTCTTTCTTTCTTTCTTTCTTTCTTTCTTTTCTTTCTTTCTTTCTTTTTTCTTTTTCTTTCTTTCTTTCTTTCTATTTCTTTCTCTTTCTTTCTTTCTTTCTTTCTTTTTTTCTTTCTCTTTCTTTCTTTCTTTCTTTCTCTTTCTTTCTTTCTTTCTTTTTTTCTTTCTCTTTCTTTCTTTCTTTTCTTTCTTTCTTTCTTTCTTTTTTTCTTTCTCTTTCTTTCTTTCTTTCTTTTCTTTCTTTCTTTCTTTCTTTCTTTCTTTTTTTCTTTCTCTTTCTTTCTTTCTTTCTATTTCTTTCTTTCTTTCTATTTCTTTCTTTCTTTCTTTCTTTCTTTCTCTTTCTTTCTTTCTTTTCTTTCTTTCTTTCTTTCTTTCTTTCTTTCTTTCTTTTTTTCTTTCTCTTTCTTTCTTTCTTTCTTTCTATTTCTTTCTTTCCTTCCTTCCTTCCTCTCTCTCTCTCCTTTTCTTTTCTTTTTCTCTTCCTTTCTTCCACTCCACTCCACTCATATGTTCCACATGGCTACTACACCCAGTGTCCTAGGCTCTGGGGATACCATAATGAACAAAACCCAGTCCCTGCTCTCATGGGTCTTGCACTCTAATGAGGGTAGGGTGGGAGACATGTAATTAATAAACAAGTCAAATCTATCACCTATCAGAAGATGTTATGTGCTATGAAGAATTAAGCAGAATTAACGTGTATGTTGTACCAGCATGAACAGGGTTGCTGTGCTGGGGGTGGCAGTGAGGTTGGGTTGAGACCCAACTAAGGGGACGTTTGGGTTGAGACCCAATGGGAGCGAGGGATGAACCATGTGGATCCACGGCAGATAGAAGAGCACCTCAGGGTGGGAGCATGCTTTGGGTGTGTAATAAACATACAGAGATCCATGTGGCTGGAGTGAAACAGGAAAGGGGGAGCATGATAGGATGGGGCTGGAGAGATGAGTGGGGCCAAACCTTGAGAAGACTTGTTGCGGACTATCAGGGCTTTGGCTTTGCCTCTGAGAGAGATGGGAAGACCTTGGAAGATTCCCAAGCAGAGAAAGGATGAGGTCTGACTTAGGCATGAACAGAATCCCTTTGGCTGCCGCACTGGGCTTAAGCTATCAGGCGTGACGACAGAGGAAAACAGGGCAGCCACGTAGGGGGGAACTGATGGTGGATGATGCCAGGACACTCCGGGTCCTCTTTGAAGGTGGACTCAACAGGATTTGCTGATGGGTTAGATGTACGGGTGTATGAAAGAGAGGAGAACCAAGAATGATACCAAGGTTTGGGATCCGAGCTCTGGAGGGATGCAGCTCCCATCACCGGGGATGGGGGTGGGCAAGTTTTGGGAGAGCACATGTCTGGTTAAGGATGTGACAGCTGGTCACAGAGGGAGGGCAGCAAGTACTCCTTCTTTCTGGAACACACCCTCCCTTGGCCTCCGGGACACCCATCCTCCTCCCTGGACACTCCTTGTCAGCCGCTCTTTATGGCTCAGGCCACACAGGGACTCCTCCAGACCCTGTCCTGGGCCCTTTCCTGTTCTCTCTGGAAACCCACTCATTTCCTTAATGGCAGCTCCTAGTTTTTCACTCTCAACTGCCTAATCCGGAGGCTAGCAAACTTTTTCTGTAAGGGGCCAGACAGTAACTATGTTAATCCTGGTCTCTGCTCCTGTCATGCAAAAGCAGCCATGGACCGCCATTAAATGAATGGGCGTCACTGTATTCCCATAAGACCTCATTTACAAAAACACGTGATGGACTGGACTTGACCTGTGGGTCATCGTTTGCTGACCCCTGCCCAATCTGTAGCTCCAGATGCATATATCCTGTCTATTGGACATCCCTGCCCCAGACCCTTTGGTGAATCCCAGAAAGGAAAAGCTATTTGACCAATGTCACCCAGAAAAGCAGGGCAGGGCAGGACAGGAGCCCAGGTCTCCTCACTCCTAGTCGCTGAGAGCCCTCGCTTCCAAACCCTGCCACATGTCTCTGCCTTGGTCTCTATTTTCAATCATTCACTCATTAACAACTATTTTTGAGCATTTGTTACGTGTTTGGCCCTGAATTAAACTCGCTTCGTCTGTCCCGCTTTGCTGCTTCCTTGTGTCCTCTTTGTCCCTCCCACCACACGGCCCACATGCCAGGGAGACAAATGGCCCGAGCTCCGATGCCTTCCTGCCACTAGAAGGCCCCGAGACCCTCACCTGCTCCCCAATTTTGGTGTGCACCCCTGCAGGGAAGCTGCACACGTCTGGCCACAGGGCACAGGCCTCCAGGACCCTCTCCAGCCACATCGGGTCCAGCTCCTGCCTGAAGCACACATTCTCGACCACGGATGTGTTCTGGACCCAGGCCTCCTGGGGCATGTAAGCCACGGAACCCTAAAATACAACTCACTTCGGTCATCAAAAGGCAGGTAGGGATGGAGGTAGGAGTGATTTGGGGGAAGTAGGAGGAGCGGAGAGGAGCAGAGAGGAGTGAGCAGGAGAGGGGAGGAGAGGAAAGGAGTGGGGGGGACCGGGAGGGAGGCGGGGAGAGGGACATTGTGACAGGCAGGGGGCAGCCTCACCTTGATGGTCACCGATCCCTCCACCTTTGACAGCTCCCCAAGCAGGGCAGAGAGCAGAGAGGACTTCCCTGCCCCCACTGCACCAACAACCACCAGCAGATGACCCTGGGGCACAGTGAGGTTTATCCTGGCAACACAGGAGGGGAGAGATGTCCCTGGGCAGGGCCCAGCCTGAGTCCGCGTGGAATTGTGAACCCCGACAGAGCCAGCCTTTCCTGTTGGCGACTCAGGCAGAGGTCACTGTGGGTAAGCGTGGAGCTGTCCTTCTCTCTCACAGTCCTTGTCCAGCTATTTAAGTGGCCACCTTGCCCCACACACGTGCACATGCACACACACACGTGCCGTCACACAAGCACACACGTGCATTACACCGCACACTCATGCACACTCCTGCAGTCATACAAACGCACACCCTTAGCATACCACACGTACCACATACATGTGCAGCCACAGACGTGTGCATGCACACTCACGTGTATGCACAAGTGCACACACATTCACACACATGTTCTAGTGCACATGTGCACACACACTCATGCCTGCATGTGCACACGTGCGTGCACACACCTGCTTGCACATATGCACACACACACACACACACACACACACACTCAGTTTATTGTGGCAGGAGGGTCTAACCAGCCTTGCCTCTTGTCCAGGGTATTACAGTAGGCTCTTCACCACTCTCCCTGCTTCTGCCCTTGCCCTCAACCACTGCTCGTGTGCTGTAGCCCATCTTCCACCCCGTGGCCAGAAGGACCCGTTAAAACCCGTTAAAAGTGGGATCATGATGCCTCCTCGCTGAAGCCTCCAGCGGTTCCCATGTCACTCAGGATAAAAGGTAAAGCGTCCCGACAATTCACCAAGTACGTCCGACCTCCCACTGCTCTGTCCCTTAGCCACTCGGCCTCAGCCACGCTGACCTCCTGCTTCTTCTCAAAGACAGTAGGACAGTGGTTCTCAAGTAGGAGGCACTGTGCCCCTCCCCAAGTGTCATTTGTCACACCTGGTGGGTGGTTGCTGCTAGAAGCTAGTGGGCAGATACTGGGGGTCCTGCTAACCAACCTCCAATGCATAGCACAGCCCCTACGACAAAGAATTCTGCAGTCCTCAATGTCAGTAGTGCTGACATGGAGAAACCTTGGTCTAGGCACACTCCTGCCTCAGGACCTTTGTACTTGCTGTCCCTACCACTAGAAAGCTCTTCTTCCAGACACCCGCAGGGCTCATTCCTTCTCTTTATTATGACCTCACTACACATGCCCCTCCCTCGACATCACCCCCTTACCCTTTCTCATTTGTGGGCCCCCATCACGTGGGCCCCAAGAAAGCAGGGCCCTTGTGCGTTTCCTTCACTCTGTGCCCAGAGCCTACAGCAGGGGCTGGCACATAGCAAGCGTTTAATAAATACTACGAGGGGAGTGAATGGCAGTCGACATGAATACCGCCCAGGATACTTTCTTTCCCTTCTTATAGAGTTTTGGGGCTGGCTGGGGTTTTCTGCCACAAAGACCCCACCGAAAGTGGGGCTGCAGGTGGCAATGACCTGGGAGCTAACAGAGGAGAGAGAGAAGCAGATATGGCTGACGGGGTCTTGGGGGGGGGGCCTCTCTTTTAGGCCTCCCTTGGTGTCATCTTGGCCAGCGTGGGGAGCGGGGACCAGGGAGGTGTTCCCTCCCCGGCCGGGGAGGCTGATTCACCGTTCCTCCACCCCCAGGAGTCTTGCTTTCCCCAAACTCTCTGCCAGGGCTCGTCCCAACCTCCCTGACAACAGCGGCGTGGGTGAGCCCGCCCCCCCGCCCCCGGCCCCCCGGGGGGGGGGGGCCCCCCCCCCCCCCCCGCGCCCCCCCCTGCCCCCCCCCCCCCCCGCCCTGCGGGAAGCCTGCACCGTCTCTCACACAGGACACCGCGGCGGCTCTCGCAGAGTCCTCCCGTCCCCGGGAGGGCAGTTTGCGGAGAAGCCATGCTGTACCTGCGCAGGCAGAGGGTGCCTTCTCGGGACCAGGCGAAGGTGCCGTTGTGCACGCTGATGCACGTGTCCCCAGCAGCTGGAGGGCAAACCCAGACAACCCGTGCTTGGAGAACCTCATCACACAAGGGTGCCCGTAATCTCTCCGACTTTATTTCCCAGCTCGACAAACACATCACCGTGTTTGTCTCCCCGGACTTCCCGCACGAGGGCGAGGACCTGGGCTGCTAGAGGATTGGCTGCTGTAACCCAGACTGACGCGCCGTCAGTGGGCACGGGTAGCCACTGAATGACCGGCAGAAAGTGTCACCGTGCCCGTTTCCACGTTGCACGGCTGGTGACCTCATCTGCGTGTGCCATCCTGTCACCAGCGGCCCCAGCTGGGACCCTGGCTTTTGGTCGATGGACTGCAGGAACCGCTCCTCTTATCCCTCCCATCCCCCTCCTGCTGAACTCCGCACTCACAGCGTCTGGAGGGACTTGAGTCCACAGCCCCAGGGTCAACTTCTTCCAGGCAGAGGAAGGCAGCCAGACGGTCCAAGGACACCCGGGCCTGGGGAAACCAAAGCCTCAGGTCACTGGTGCCCAAAGAGCAAAACACGAACTCGGGCTTCAGGTGCCTGGTGCCTCGGGATGTGGAAAACCTTCTGGTCTCCCAAGCCTGATGCATTTGCAAAGCTTTAGCGCAAGGCTTTCCAGGTCACGGGAAACTGTGCACACGGAGGTGGTGATGACGATGACGGTGGTGACCTCCCGTCTCCTCACCCCTAATTAGCATAGTAGGGACACTTGGGCTGCCATTCTGCAGATCAGACCCCAGAAGGAGATGGTGGCTTTTCCAAGGGGGTCATCAGACCATTATTGGCAATGGTTCCAGACTCTGTCCATCTAGGGGAACCCTCTCTGCTCTCAGCCCTAAAACCATCTCTGGGAACTAAGGAGGCGGCATTTGAATAGGGACACCTCAGGGCGCCTGGGTGGCTCAGTTAAGCGTTCAGCTTCAGCTCAGGTTATGATCTGGTGGCTCGTGAGTTCAAGCCTCGCATCAGGCTCTCTGCTAACAGTGCAGAGCCTGCTTGGGATTCTCTGTCTTCCTTTCTCCCTCTGCCCATCCCCAGTATGCACTTTTTCTCTGTCTCAAGAATAAGTTAAAACATGAAAAAAAAAAAAATTTAAATAGAGATGTCTCAGCGAGGCAACTTGCTCTCATTTCTACCACACCAAGGTGGCACAGTGTGAGCAGAGACAGGGAAGAGAATGGAAATTGCTGCCCATTCCTTGTATCCTCTGCCCCTCCCGGCCTCTCCCTCCCTCCCCTGTCGGTCCTGTGGGCAGTGTGGGGATGCACAGAGGCAGGGCACTGCCTGCTACACCCCTGCGGGTCTCTGCCCAGATGGCCTCCCCGCCCCACCGCCTCACCCGGACCACGGAGTCGATGGAGAAGGGCAGGAAACCCTGAGCCTTGGTGAGGATATTGAGAACCACGAGAGTCACAAAAGCTTTCTCAGCATCCATGGCATTCTCCTCAGCCACCAGCGAATGAACAGCAAACACCGCCAGTGCGACCTGGGGACACACGGGCAGTGACAATGAGCTGAGGGCACAACCCAGGAACCTGAGCAGGCGTCTCCAGGGGCCTGTTTGGCCAAGCCTTGCCACGTTGGAATGTTCCCGCCCGTCTGGTTCTCACCCTAAATTCTGCTACCCGCCCCAGTTCTCACTCCTGGTTCACAAAGCTGTGTTTCTCTGAAAAAATACAACCGTATTAGTGAAAGGAGGTGTGTGTGCAATCCCTGTTCTAGGACCAGAAACTCTTGGTTCCAGGCATCTGGGGACACTGCAGCATGCGGTCTGGGTAGGGTTTGGGGGGGGTTCTAGGCATGGGTGGGACTTGTGAGTCTAGAAATTCTTGGAGATGACCCTGAAGTTGCACGTATCAGCAGCGCTCGAGAGCCTTGGGGGTTGGGGGCATTTGTGGCTCTAGATGTCACGAGGGGGTAGTTCAGTTCTAGGTGCCACTTGGTGATGATATGATGGTCCCTTAGTGTGCTGACCACTCTACATGATGCCCACTGTGATGGTCGCTCGGTGTGATGGTGACTCAGTGACCCTATCCGGGGATCTCTCATGGCTGTAAGCAATGCTACTTGTGTTTCTCAGCGATGACTGTGTTGGTAACTCCAGATCGTCCCGGGGGGGGGGGGGGTGTCTAATCCTTCTGGCAATAAGTGATTAAGGCCCACCTGCCACCAGCCTTGAATATTTTATGAAGTTTGGATTATTTATTTATGCAGCAGTGAGTTACTGTGGGTTTGTTTGCAACCCCGCATGGACTGAAGTCACGGCTGGCCGTGCTTTAGGAAGGCTAATCTGGCAGCAGTTTGTGAAATAAATTGGAGGACAGGACGGTGCCCAGTGTGTGTGGATGTGGGGAAGGGGGGCCCCTGCAGCCATCTGACAGCCGGCATCAGTGTGGACCGGGGGTGCTACCTGAGCAGAACCTGCCCCTGTTGCCTCCTCCCCCTGCCAGAAGCAGCGACAGTTCAGACGCTGGAACCTTCTACAGGAGAATGACAGACCTTGTTAGCCACTACCAGCTTCAGAATCAGCTAACTCAGCACAAAGCAAGGATCCCTGACTGGGAAGGATCCAGGAAAGGTATGTTTGAACGGACAGCGTGGTCTGCAAAGAAAGGCTCCAGGATCTGGGGGGGCGCGGAGGGGGGAGTTCTGCCTACCTCATCCCCTCCCCAGGATTCCCTCCCTCCGTCCATGCTCTGCAGAGAGATCAGAGTGACCTCACCAGAAACGTGGACACTTGGAAGGACACCAGAGACACAGAGAAGAGGAGGCTGGAGGTCCTCAAGGCACCCAGCTCCTGGCCCCGGATGTGCAGGACTCTTTCTAGAAAGGCTCCCTCCCAGCCGTGGGACTTGACCATCTTCATGTTCCTGATGACGCAGCTGGTGAGCCGTGCCCGAGAATCTTTCTGCCTCATGTGCTCCTCCTGGTACCAGAGGGAAGAAGAAGGGAAGAGGTCAGGGAAACGTCTAGAAACGTCTAGAATAAAACGTCTAGAAATCCTTCCCCCAAACCATCACACCCCACCTTCAGCAAATGCCCTTGATTCCACAGTAGGTCCCAGGCTGTCTGCCTCTCAGTATCGCTGTCCCCACAGTCCTGGCCCAAGTCACTGTCATCTTGTCCCTGGACCCCCACAGGCGCCTTCTCCCTCCTGTCCCCCAGCTTCTGCCCTCACTGTGGACCAGAAATGATGGGAAGCTCCCACAGACCAGGGAGGAGGTGAGAGAGGCGGAACCCTGAACCAGCCTGGGTGTGGTGCCACGGGGAAGGCTTCCTGGAGGTGGGAGTGACCGTGAGCTATGATGAGCAGGTGCCGGGTGTGCAAATGGGTAGGTGAGGTGGACGAAGGAAGGCAGAGGAGACAGCACGACCCAGAGGCAGGCAGCGTGGTCAGAGAGGGTGGGGGGGGGGTGCTACAGGAGGGAGGTGGGCTGCACCACGTTGGGACTTGGGGGTCAGGCAGAGGAGTCGGGGGCCCCTGTGTCCCACTAAGGAGGGGCATTGTCACAGGGGCAGGTGTGGACAGTGTCTTAGAGGACGCCAAACAGGAGGCTGGAGAAACAGTCTATGTGAGACCTTTCTTCCTCCCTCCCTCCCTCCTCCTGATTGCCAAGCACTGTTCTAGAAGCTGAGACTGCATCAGTGCATATTCCCTGCTGCCGGGAAGCTTTCAGTCCGAAGAGAGAGAGGAGCCAGGTGCATCTGGCAAACGGGCAGGCCAAGTTGCCGAACAGGTGCATATGGAGGGGAGGGGCGTGTTGCTGCTGTAACCAGGGGTCTGTGAGGGGTCGGGGTGGGGGGGGCAGGGATGTCTGGGGGTGAAGGTGTTCCAGGCAGAGAGCACCATAGGAGCAAAGGCCCTGAGTGGGGCTTGAGGGTCGGGGAGGGCAGAGGGGGAGTGGGGTTGGAGCTTGAGGGTCAGGGGAGGGCAGAGGGGCAGGAGGTGAGGCCAGATCACGGCTGGCCACCAAGGGTCTCGGCTCTGACTCTCGGGGACATGCGAGCCACTGTGGTTCTGAGCAGAGAGGGCTGACGAGGGCAGGAGCAGGAGCGCCCAGTGAGGGTGAGACTGGGCCATCATTCCGGATGCATCTGCTGAGGGACGGTGTGTGAGAACAAGAGAGGCGTCCGAGTTGACCATGGTTGGCTTGTGGCCCAGACGCTGGAGGCATGCGACAGCCATCCACAGGGCTGGGGGCACCGGGAGGAAGGCAGGGCTCTGAGTGACTGGAAAGGCTCGTGCCACCAGGCCCTCCGTCCCCTCCTCATCTCCCCGTACCTGCACCAGCAACAGTCCCGTGACCTGCAGGCTCCCTGCCCCGCTTGCCGCCCAGTGTGTCCCTTCTCCCAAATGTCAGACCTGATGCTGTTTCCTCTTCTTGGTGATGAAGAAATTCAGAGGGAGGAGGCTCAGGAAGACAGCGATGGCAGTGAGGGCAGAGGGTCCTAGAAGCTGGAGACAGAGAGGGTGGGAGGTCACAAGACGCCTCCAGGAGCCCGGCTGAAGACACCGAGGGATTTGGTCAGACCTGGGTCCTAAGGCAGGGCATCCCAGGGAAGCTGGCGAGGGCAGCCAGCTGACACTTGCTGAGGACACTCACGCAAACTACCTAACCTCCCTAAGCAGCACTGTCCTCATCCATGAAAGGGACATCCAGCATTGCCTGTCACCTAGAATAAGTGCCCGTGTCATACAGTCATTATCCTAGGTCTTCATTTCACCCCTGACAAGGTTGCCAGATTTAGCCAAAAAACATATAGGATGCCTCGGCAAGTACGAATTTCAGATGAAACAGCAAATGGCTTTTTGGTATAAGTATGTCCCATGCTATATTTGGGATATACTTATCCTAAGAAATTATTTGGTTTCTCTAAAAGTCATATTTAACCGGACATCCTGTATTTTGTCTGACAGCCCTACCCCCACCAGCTTTGTGACTTTGGGACAGTTATGTTCCCCCTTGGCTTTGGTTCCCCCCCCCCATTTTTTGGGGGGGTGGGGGAGAGTGCAAGCAGGGGAAAAGCAGAGAGGGGAGACAGAGGATCCGAAGCGGGCTCTGTGCTGACAGGCTGACGGCAGAAAGCCCGATGTGGGACTCGAACTCAAGAACTGCAAGATCATGACCTGAGCCGAAGGCAGAGGCTTAACCAACTGAGCCACAGAGGCGCCCCTGCTTTGGTGCAAATGTGGAGCTGGGGGTGGGGGAGATGATTTCTAAGTGGTTGTGACTGTTTGAGATTCCTCCCGCATCATTTGGGGCCAGTCTCTAGACAAGCCCCACCCCTCTTCAGTCTGTGGCCCTCAGTTTCCCCTCTCAGCTTTTAAGAACACTATTTTGTAATCTCCTTGACCACAGAGCAAGCCTGTTTGTTTCATTTATGCAGCAATCGCGCCACCCAGTGGCCAAGTGGAGAAGTGCCCAGAAGGCAAACCAGCCCACCGCCAGGATTGGGAAAATACTCAAAGAAAGGTGAAAGGAAGGTTAAGCTTTCTCTGGCAAAAATAGTATCATTTGGAGAAAAATGCTACAGATGCTAACTGTGGCAACTTCAATGTCTGGGGG